AAAAAAAAAAAAACGAACTAAAAGTGGAGGCTGTCATGTGTGCGTGTGTTTCTCCCCGCAACCACAGGGGGAGACACTTCTCCCGGCACGGTGAACGCAGGAGTTTTGCAGGAACCTCTGACGTGTCAGACTGTCGCCATTTTCCTAAGGAAGGAAACGCCTAGAGGGAACAAAACATTTCAACTGAGTAAGTGCAAGAGAGACTTTTTGTTAAAGAAAAAAGAAAAGGTAGCTTTTACAATATCTGAAGGTAAATGTACAAAACCCCATGTGTTGTCAAGCAAAATCGGCTTTTGTGTGTGCGATTCCGATCACCATAGTCAGAAAAATCTGACTTGCACCTTGTTAGCGGAATTATCTGAATCGACGAGTCTGTCCTTCCTTTCTGTGTGCGTGGGAGGTTTTTTTTGTACTCTCTCGCACATGATTTCATATTCAGTGTAACTGGGAAACACATAAATAGAAATGCAATTGTTGTTTTTATTTCTCAAGTTGGTACTCTTAATAAAAGCTGAGCGGGTCGGACGACTATTAGCGTTGCACCCTAACAAGCTAGCATCACCGTTTGTTTACCTGCTCTGAAAGTTTTTGCTCCGAGCTAAATATTGAAAATGCTCCAGTTAGCCGCGTAAAATATTCGGTTCCAAACTGCATAAACTGAAAAGACAAATACTGGTACAGGGTGACAGCTAGCGAGTTTCCTTATAATTTCATTTAGTAGCTTTCAGGAGTCACGGAGCGTTTAACGTCCCTTTTATCGAGGTTGGTGCTACCACGAGTTTCTGCCTTTAAGTAGAATTCAGAAGCTCATATATTGCATATAGTATACATCACACTGATTAATGCGAGTGCGATAACAGAAAACTGCTTACAGATAATTGTATTTAGCACAACAGTAGCATCATACTGATTTCTGAGGATATTTAAAAATGTCCTAAAAGTGTCTAACAGCCTTTACAGTTGCACTCCCATGCTGCCCACGTGACTCAATAAAAGCAAAATTTCAAACATTCACCTTTAATATTTTGACACAAGCAAATGTAGCTGTCTGTAAGATGATTTGATCACGCCATAAGACCCATCTCACTGATTAGATGAGGCTAACAAAACTTTAGTCATGGACATAGACTTTATTTAATCCCACACAGAGGAAATTCACTTGTTACAATAGTATAAGGGACAGGAAGAAAAAGCAAGTTAGAGATATATATTAGAAAAATAAAAATTGAAAAAAAAAATAGTGTACAAAAAATACCAAATTGCAGAAAAATGCACCACTGTTTTTTTTTTAATATGTACATTAAGTGCAGTGGGAGTAATAATAATAGTAATACATATGTATTTTTTAAAACTGTATTTAAGTTGCACACAATATTTTTTATTTAATGTATGGCGATATTGAAGTTTGTTCTAGCCTGGATGGTGTGATCAACACATACTCAGACCTTCAGTTTACTGTCACAGCAATCAGAGGCAGTGTGTCCGTCATTTGGGAGGTTGGAACACGGTTTGGTGTTTTCTTATGTTTACCAGCAGCACGTCTCTGTATTGGAGCTGAACAACTCCTCTCTTTCTTCACAGGTTTTCTTTTTGTTTTTTTGGCCTTTTTGGGTTCCTGTCACCAGCCGCCATGGGGAATATGTTTGCAGGACTGTTTAAAATGTTCGGGAAGAAGGAGATGAGGATACTCATGGTGGGTCTGGATGCTGCTGGAAAGACAACGATTTTGTACAAGCTTAAACTCGGAGAGATTGTGACTACCATCCCTACAATAGGTAATACAAAAACTGTTTTACATGACACAGGAAGGAAGCCTAAAGACTCGGTTTGTTTTTAATGTGAATATTTGTTTCATATCTACAGGTTTTAATGTGGAAACGGTAGAATACAAGAACATCAGTTTCACTGTATGGGATGTCGGCGGTCAAGACAAAATTCGACCGCTGTGGCGTCATTACTTTCAAAACACTCAGGGTAGGTTTTTTCCTCATCGCCTGATATTTGATGGCTCATGTTAGGACTGCTATTTGAACATGTCTTCTGGTTTGTATTTAGAAGATTTACACCCATTTATTTGATTGCACTTGCTCCAGGTCTTATCTTTGTCGTGGACAGCAATGATAGAGAGCGATGTGGAGAGGCTCGTGAAGAGCTCCTGAGAATGTTGGCAGAGGATGAGCTGCGTGACGCCGTGCTGCTAGTGTTTGCCAACAAACAAGTAAGTCATCAAGTCTTTTATATAAGCAGGTGTACATCATAAACACTTTTCACCTTTCCTTTGTCTAATGATTTCTCAAATTCTTTTTTTTTATAGGACCTCCCAAATGCTATGAATGCAGCAGAACTCACAGACAAGCTCAATCTTCATTCCCTGCGCAACCGACAGTGGTACATCCAGGCGACCTGTGCCACCACCGGAGATGGCCTCTATGAAGGGCTGGACTGGTTGTCTAATCAACTCAAGAACCATTAATGATTACGGCATTTTAAAATCCAATCTCCTCCACCCCAATCTCTGACCTTGCTCTTTACTTTTAAGATCTTGCTAAACTGAGTTATGTTGTACTGGAAGCTGCTCTCGTGTCAGCTGTTATTACCACAAACATGCAGGCCAGTGGTGGGGGTGGGCTATTCTTGTAAAGCAGCTTTATTTTTATTTTTTTCACATTTTATGTAAGTGTAAATAAAGTTGGTAATGGGGCAGCTTGTTGCACGCTTTAAAATCCTACTGTGGTGATTTGTCTTTCTGGCTGTTGGGCAGCCATGTGTGCATTGAATAGAAAAACAAAGGCAGGGACTTTACCAGCAGATAAAGGTTACACGTACTGTAAGGACTGATTTTAATTTTTTATTAGAAACAATAAAGAATCATACACTGATTATGCACTACTTGCAACTACTACTGGTAATTTTTATCAGTAACTAGAAGTACCAGCGCCTCAAAATAAGTATAAACACTGGCATTGACTATATGTACTGACATTGCCCCCCCACCTCCGTCACGCACAATCTGTGAACACCTACCAGCCTTTGTTGTTTTAAACTAAGAAATGTTGCATTGACCTCACATCTACCTGCTTTGGGGTAACAGGGAGGAGCCAGCCTCTTGAGCCTGCATTGAATTCTTGTATTTTAGAGTCTCAGGTTGAATATGTGCTGCCTTTGCAATGTACTTGTTAGCAAAACTGCATGATGTAGTCTGTTTGTCTTTAAGGGCATGCATTATTATCTACTGGGTGTTTACATCATACAGCTGCAAAGGAACTCTTAGCCCACTAATTACTATAGCCATACACTGTTAATTTGTTGTAAGGAGTTGCTTAGCATCCTCACTAAGGGCTCTATTAACGTTTGCCTTTTATTGAACTCAAACCTGGGAATTTGCATTGTGCAGCTATGACATTAGTGCCAATGTTTTCCTTTGCAGCACGTTGGGTTTTCTTTCGTAAACTGGCCGTCCATAAATGCCTTTTTTTTTTTTAAATATGAGACACATCACTTCCCCCCCTCCCCCCAAAACTTATTTGTAAAGGGTGTGGCTGTTTTAACTGATTGCATCGTTTGATTTTTAGCTGCCTAAAATGTAATGTTATTCTCTTCTGGTTGTCTGTGTTCTTATGTAAAGCTTGATACTGCAATTGATTTTCATTTTGTTTCACACCATGTAATAAAATCTAAGTTTATGCTGCTTTTTGTAGGCTGTCCCTTGACATCAGCTATTACAGAATTAAATGAAGTTTTAGACAAAAGGATTAGGCATCACCTTGGCATTTTTCTGCTCAGCGAATCAATCTAAAACAGAATATGAGAACACGTATGTGCAGCAATTAATTGGCAATTGATTTTAGTTGCAGCATTAATAGAATTACTATTACAAAGGCCCCAAACTTGTGTCTGTGACTTCTTAAGGCTATCACCCCTTGACCTAGGAAGAAATATGTTGCCCCAAGGTGATGAAACCACCCAGTGCTTAGGTTAAAGCAGTTATGTGAAGAGCACACCCTGTTTCACATTGTGTAAGGGTGGCAATCTAGGACCACATTCTTGCAGGTTGATTAGGCTGCTACGGTTAATGCAGCCAAGCCTGTAAAACATGGCAGGAGAGTATGGTAGCGGTGGAAGAGGAGGTAGTTTGAGTCTTGGGTCCCTCATAGGGTGGCTTTGTCTAGCCTTCTCTCCTGCTGCTTCATCAGCTTGGTTTGTGTGTGGCGGTCTAACGGTACTCGGCCATATAAAAAAAAAAAAAAAAAAGGGCCAGCCTAGTTTTTTGCACTCTTCTTTATGAATGCCTTGCTCTTTTTTTAGTGTACCCCCCCAGGTGCCAGTCCACAGAATACCCTCTTTCAGACCAATTCAAGGCAAATGCAAACACTACTCTATTATGACCAGTAAAGAGCATTCCAATGGTATCGCACCAGTCGGAGCTGAACCTAGAATGACGAGGGATTACTTAGAAAGGAAAATGGCCAGTGTCTGAGTAGTAGGATGAGACGGAGATGTATAGATGGAAAAAAAAAGGTGTCAAGAAGCATCTTGAAGGAGCAAATGTTTAGGTTTTCCAATATGAAAATGTAATCAATAGAAGTTTGTGTTGAAGGATTTTTGCCGGCAAGTGCTTAGGCAGTCAGGTGAACGGCTCGAATAGAACTTTCACTCAAAAGAATGGGGTTCAAGTCTATGCATTTTATTTGTTTTGATATGAGTTTTTTCTCCCTGTCACTGTTTGGTTAGGCACCAAAACTACATGCTTAGATTCAAGAAAAGAAATACTTATTAACATACACTCTTTTACCAGTTTGATTATAATCGTAGAAGGCTTCTTTGGCAGCAAGCCCTTGAAGCTACATTCCTGTGCAAAAAGTGCCAGTTGCACCATGTCTTTATGGTAACCTTAAAAAAAAAAAAAAAGAAGACACGTTCATGTAAATAACTGACAGGGTCATGTAAGAATTTCCATGAGGGATTATTGTGTGTGCTTGCAGTAACAATGATCAGGGTTGAACTAATGTTAAATAAAAGCTTTGAGGACAAGGAAGAAAATCATTCCACTAGTTTTGGAAAAAAAGTTTCTATATTTATCCAAGATAAAACCCCCAAAATACAAAGCTTAAAGCAATACAGAGTACTTGATATTTGATGATTAAATAACTCGACGTGATCAAAAACTGTCAAACCAAAACACCAGTGTCACATGAGCAACCTTCTGAATGAAGAAGTTAAAACCTGAGGCTAAAGTCTGTTACACTGATTAGAGTCCATCCACAGTCTGTTTGGCTGTTCAAGTAAATAAGGTCTTGAGGGTCTGTCAAACTGCTGTAGAGCACTCTGTCCACATTATGCATGTTTGAATCGGGGGTGGGGGTGGGCACGACATTAGTCGTCCGAGTCTGTGTCATGGCGCCGCCTGTGGCTTTGTGTGGCACCAGCAGGGGCCTTCTTGTAGCTGGCAGGGTTGCGAGGGACAGGAGATCCTCCATCAGAGGAGTCTGTGTCGTGCCGCTGCCTTCGATGATGGGGGTTGGAGCGCTGTCGCTCGGCCTTTGCTCCCCCCCTTGAGTGGCTGTCATGGGGTCTGGCTCCGCTCTGACTAACGTATGATGGATTATGATGATGGTGGTCCTTTCTGTGCCTAAAAAGTACAAGGAAACAAATAGTGTTGGGATTAATGCTGTGAGGGTATGGAAGAATAAACGGCACCTGCAAGTGGAAATAACTGGCTGTTTTTTTTGTTTGATAAAATTGTGTTCAAGGTTATTGTTATTCTTTTCCTATCGCACAAGTTACTGAAGCACATAAATAACAATGTTTAATCTGCCTCTTCAAATATTGAAATATAAAGAAAGTCTTGTGACGCATGCACCCCATATATAACACAACAAGTGAAGTTGTTGTATGTAAGACAGTGCCTCACTGCCCTCTAGTGCTGACACAACAATTTGGCTCCCAACAAAAAGACTGCAATGTAATTTAAAAATATAAACAGGGCTGCACATAAGTGGTTCGCTATCAAAATAAAAGATCCGCACCAGATAAGTTGTAACGCACGTTTGCGTACATAAGATGTTCTGGAGGAGGACAGACATTTGTTTAGAACTCTTAAAGATGTCGAAGAAGCAAGCTCCGTAAGCAAATACTTTGGTGTTTCTTAATGTAAACCTCGTTCACCCATTCACACACCTACTTGAGGAAGTGCTTTTTTTTCATGCCTAAGCACTTTTAACCTAATACACACACGCTCACATTCCGATGGACGCATTGAGGGCAGACTGGGGTTCTTTGCCCAAAGATACTTCCAATTAGAAGTGGGAGCAGCCAGGGATTGATCTACCTCCACAGCCCTTGTCTTTAAAAACACGATTCTAAAAACATATTTTGAGTTTGGTCCAGACTCATGCTGAATACTGTTTGAACGTTAAATGCAGAAATAAACCAACCTCTTCCTGTTGTCCTCAGAATCGGAGGAGGATGAGTCTCTCCTTTTTCGTTTTTTCTTTTTTTCCTTTTTCTTTTTCTCCTTTTTGTTCTTTTTTTCTTTGTTTTTCTTATTACTGTCATGCCTTCAGAGAGGGAAAAGAAAGTAGTGAAGATTACATTTCAACAAATTACATTATTTTTTCATTTCAAATGTATTATTATCAGTATTATTATTATTTACGCATTCTCATTCATTTGTTCACTGGCTATTATTAAAAGAAAACTTAAGAAACTGGACACAGGGTCAGATTTTGTCCAGTAAATCTAAAAGTTTGTGTGTCTGCAACATTTTACAAGTAGTAATTATCCAGTCTCACCTCTGTTCCTCCACCTGTTTTACTGCACTCTCATTTGTTTTTGTTGCTGAAGCTTCTGTATGACCTTCAGTCCTGACGTGCTGGACAAAAAGCATTTCTTAATTTTTGCAGAGTGTAAAATGCCTCAAAGCAGAGTAATGTCTAAGCACCACTACCCCAAAAAAGGTAATAACACAATCTTACTGTAAAAACCGGCAAGCCCATTTTAGCAACCTCCTTTTCTTTTTGGGACAGGACCATTCTCCGAGACCCTGCACTGCAGAAGGAAACATTGAAAACACAGTAAGACACTTTAGAATCAAAACATTGAGAAAAGAAGCTCTTTTGACACCACTTTTTCCATGATGACAGTTTACATTTTTGCTGACTTATCAAATACACTAACTGGCCACTTTGCTAGGTACGCCCGTTCAACAAATATCTAATCAACCTGTCACAAGCCACCAACTCAGTGCATTTAGATGTGTAGACATATTTAAGAAAATGTGCTGAAATTTAAACTGAGCGGTGAAGAAAAGTGACACTGAGCAAGGCATTGGTGTTGGTCCCAGATGGGCTGGTCTGAGTTTTTCAGAAACTCCTGATATACTGGGATTTTCGAACACAACAATCTCTAGCGTTTACAGAGAATAGCTTTTTTTGTGGGGTTTTAAAACAAAAAACAAAAGATACACAGAGAGACAATAACACCAAAATAGACAAAAAGATCTGAGGAATGTTTCCAGCATCTTGTTGAATCTATAACACGAAGAATTAAAGTATTTCTGAAGGCAAAATGGCGTTGAACCCTAATAACCCCCAACGAACTAGCAAGGGGGTACCTAATAAAGTGACCAGTGAGTGTATGGTTAATTTAAAACAAGAGTCCCTGATAAAGATTAAACTACCTTCACCTTCAGGTTCTACCTTCACCTTAGTGATGCATACTGTCCTTTTAACAAATATTCATTTATTTTTATGTTGTTGCTTTTCTATATTTATTTATTTTACTCCAAAAATAAAGCACCTTTAAACATCACTGTTTCATGTGGAAAAAGCAAACATAAAAAGAAGTCACCTGGAGCTTCCTAAACCAGAAACACGGTCAACATTTCTCTCATCGCCATCAGCCTCGTCCCTCCTGCAAACCTCTACAAGGTCCTGCCATAGAAAGTCAAATAAAAATTCACATCACTAAGCTTTTGAACAATAGCAGATTTTTTTTTTTTTTAAATCATTCATAATTTAAGTCACACACCTCTTTGGTTAGACCAGTCGGTTGTCTCTTTATATTCTTGTGCCCTCTAAATTGATAATGGAAAATGAGAAATTACTAAACTGGTCAGTTTAAACTTCCTGTTTTATCTCTTTTATGGGAAGTTGTACATACAGTGCAGCCATCAACGCTTCTTCCTCTGCTGCCTTGACAGCAGCAAGTTCCTCCTCCCTGGACAAAGGTGCACCACCCTTTTTGTCCTTTGCATACCATGTCAGATCTTTGCCTTTTTGCCAACGCCCCACTGGTGCCATCAACGAGTTACCTGGAAACAGAGGAAGTGATGACACGTGATAAAGATTACGGATTCCAGAACATGATGTATGATAATTTCCTTTTCATTCTTAAGTAGGGCTGTGCGATATGACCAAAATCTCATATCCCGATAAAAAACATCTATCGTCCGATAACGATATAAATAACAAAAATTTATCATTTTCTCTAAATTCTGTGAATCTCTGGTAGCTGAAGTGTTTCCAGCTGGGTCGTGTATCTGGACTCGAGTGTTTTACCGATGCATGAAACTACACATTTTTAGACATAGGTTGTAACGACCGCCATTTTCTTTGCAAGTATTTATTACACGGTATGCTGCAGGGGAAAGCCTGTTCTAACGTTTAAGTCTAAGGTTTATTTTTTAGCACCTGACGGCTCTTTTTTGCTTCTCATCGGTAAATACTCTGCATACTCTTTCATGAGATTCAGTTTATTTTATGTCTCAACAGGATCTTGAGCTTTATTGTGAAAGGTTTATGTTTTGGGCCGTAGCATAACACTGAATGAAGCCTGTGTTTCAGAAATCCAGATGATGTCAACATTTTTTTTCCCCCCAAATAGTCAAGAATTGTGCATTTTTGTTTTGAAATTATTTACAGTACGTATAGGAGGATAAAGTCAATTAAAAAAATGTCTTGTACACACGATAATTGTGTGTGTACAAAAAAATGTGCACAAACACAAACTTTATTGGATTTTAGGGGCCCCACACTAAAACGACTTATTCATTAGTCATGGCAAAGATGATGTTGGTATTGTTAGTATTGTCCCTTTTTTAAGTTTCCTTATTATGTACAACTTAAAAGAAAAAATACTTTTTTAAAAATCTTTCTATTAGCATCCTCCCCTCCACAGCCACGTGTTTAAACAATATATTTTAACATATGCTGCTAACATCATGTATAATGAGGACCTTACTGTACAATAATATTAATATGATGCTTTTCCATGAGTGCTTTTTAAAATGCACGTTCCTGAACAATTTAAGTAGGGTTACTTTTGGGAGTCCTATTTTTCATCGGTGGTGGCCGCTACGTAGGCTAGCTGCTGTTGGTTTGCTGGGCATGCTGGCAACTGTGTAGGCTCACATAACGGAGAGACTACGTGTCTGTGCTCAGGGGTGGGAGCAATGAAAGCTAGGACTTGCTTTGTGTAGACTGAAAGACAAGGCGAAAACCAAGCCATTAGACCCATCCAGACTTCGTGTAATGAGGGAAACGACAACAAAAGGTATGGGAGAGTTGCATGTGAGGCCGTGGTGTGCGTAGTTTAAGAGCTCAGTTAGAGCGATATGAGCAGCACCGCATCTGGTTGCTGCTGATAAGCAGACAGATGGCTACTATCTCCTGTACTTACCGAGATAGTTTTCTCTGTGTTTGTCGACTTTCACTTCATTCCAGTTGAACTGGTCCTGACCTCCCCGTACACCTCCAGATCTCGAGGAACCGAACATTTTTAATCGGGTATCTCTAAAAGTTAAGGCAAAAACAACGTCCTGTTAACGCGAAGAGCTAACTTTTAGCCACGTTAGCACATGACCCGCGCGACCGGCTAGGCCTTCAGCTAACACTCATCCGGGGAGTTTTTGTGGTAAGTTTAAATTCCCTATGGTTACTAGGACCTGTTGGTGAGAGGCTTGCTTCTTAGTGGTAATGCTTCCTTTGCCTAGAGGCAAACTACTTCCAGTTTCCCCAAGTCTCCGCAGAGCGCAGGGGAAATAGTTTTTTTAAACGCTAGTTAGCTTAAAATCGTTAATATGCGTCTTTAGGTTATAGTAATTACTGCCAGCCCGCGCACATGTCGGTACTGCCGCTTTTGAAGAGGCTGCCTGATTCCAGTTGAAAGCATACATACATTCACAATAATAATAGCTTTAAAATATCAGCGTCTTCGTCATTATTTGTTTGGCTAATGTTGCTAAAAGCCCTGCTTTTTCAGCATTCTCTCGCGCGCATTCTTGACGCTCGTGAACGTCACTTGTTGGTGTTTTGGCCTGTGGTGATGACGTAGGCAGCACGGGTATCTTTAATGGCTCTCGCGGTGAAGACTCGGAGCACAGCAAGGGAGGGAGAAGACACGCAGGAGACGGTGCTTTAAGTTGTGGATTAACGCTATTCTTGTCCCATAATGAGACATTTTTCCAGGCTATTTTCAGGTAGGAATGAGGACGTTTGGTGGGGTTTTCTGCTCTCTCCAAATTGCGTGTTGTGTCACGATATCTGAGCGTGCCATTCATTCCTGGAGTCCCATAAGAGAAGAAGATGGTTCATGTGTTTACCAGAGTGTTTTAAATTAACATGGCTGACACAATGTTACCTGTGGTTTAATTGTTAGTAAGTCTGGTTTGGGATGTGTGATTCAGGCATGGAATAATGGTAGAAGTGCATTTAAGCCTATTTTAAATCCCCATTTCACTTCCAACAACTTTAACTTCTTGTTACAATAATGTCAGTTTTTATATGGTTATAACATACAGACTTTGCAGTTCCTGTGTGCTATATATTAACATCAAATGCATATGAGAAACAGATGACGAGGCCTCACTATGTGAAAAAGATACGAACTGTTTGTCCTCCTGATTAGAACAAAGCCACTGTTATCTTGATGTTACATAGTGTTAGGGCGACCAGATGTCCCCTCTTTTGTTCTCCTGCCTTTCACACATCTTGAGACAGCGTCCCACATTTTGGCTGGGTCTGCAGGACACACACTTTTCTAAACTCTGGGCCTTACCCAGTAAATATGAAGGGCAGGCTTCTTATTACAGTCAAATTAAGTAAACCATCTAATGTTGGGCCCATCAGCGAAAATTACAAATTACCCCCCCCAAAAAAAAAAAAAGCTATAATGGAAAATACTATAGAGAAAACGAAGCAGCAGCTAAATTGTGTGTGTCATAATCGCCTAAAAACTGCTGAGAAAAATGTATACCAATTTGTGGATCCCTACAGAAACTGACAGACTGTTACCGGACAGAATAGAAGCTGAACTAAGAGAAAGAAGATACAGAAGTGTATATAAAGCTTTCACGTGGTACAAAAGCTAACTTTAGCTGCCTTTTATCCTTATTGTGTTTACTTAGTAAGAGATTTGGAAAAGCTGCACTAATCTATTTGACTACCTCCCGTCATTGTTTTTCCCCACGTTTAGTTTGTTGGATCTGTTCACCCAACATCCTGTGCGTGGTATTACAGGATTGTTACAAGATGGACCAAAGCTTTGTAACTTATTTTTTCCAGCTACATTTTCCCAGTTCAATTAGACATCAATTAGATTTTTTTTCAATTCAGTTTTAATTTTATAGCACCAAATAACAACAGCAGTTACCTCAAGGTGGTTTGTATTGACATACTCATTTTTGTTTTGTTTTGGGGCTTTTTAGAAAAATTCCAGAGACCAGGGATATTATTATAATGTCTTTTTAAGCCCATATAAGAACCAAATATGCAAAATATCAAGAAATATTTGCTTAAAAGGAGGCTGCATAAACTTTCTTTAAAGAAAAATATCCAGATTTTTATTTCTTGTAACGTTCACACTGAACATGAAGCGGATTGTCTCTGACTTTAAAAATGCAACATTGCATGTGATTTTCAAATCGCGCTTCAGGAAATGATTGCATTACATGCAATTTAGTGCACGTGGTTAAAGTCAGGCGCCATGCAGCTTCCAATAAATGCTGTGTGTTGATTATAAACTCACATGGCTCTGATTTCCTCTCATGCTGCTCAGTTTATGTAGGAAAGGTGTTCTGTGTTAATTATTTTAGTGTCTTGTGTTCTTACTTAAAGGGTGCACGCTATGCTCTTTACAGCTTGATAATTTCATACTTGGACTCCGCTAGAGTGGCTTTGCATGATTTACAGTCTCAGTCCAGCCCTGCTGGATTAAATAATCAAATATTAAACATAAAATCCTATAAATTATTTAAAGAATCCAGTTTTTATAAAAGGAACTCCTACATCCTTTTATTAGCCATGATTCTGTTTATGGGAAGCATTTGAAAGATGATGGAGGAAAACTGCTTGGAAATCAGAAACCTCATAATAATGTGAATTTTATTCTCTGCTCTTAAAAGATCACACGAGCATCCAAACATGCAGATCAGTTTACTTTTGCTTTCATTTTAAAAGATTGCTTAGACTTTATTGGGATTCAGACACCTCACCTTGACGTAGTAGTGTAATTAAAACTAGTGTTTTAATGCCTTTTATTATGCTGTGTTATCTTCTTTACTAGGTTCAGTGTTTTTTCGAGACACTTTGAGTGTCTTGTAATGAGAGGTTGTTTGAGCATTAGGGCTGAAACCAAAATGCATGCATGGCTGCATTATAGCAAGTCGCTACCAAGTCATAAGATATTTAAACTGAATCATAAGATGGAACTTTAAAAAAAATCTAGTGCAGTAAAATTGGCCCTGCCCACTCCCCGTCTCTCCACCCATCTGCTTTTAAACACAATCTGCAGACACACAATCGTTCCCTTCCTGTTGACTTGATTTTCCTGTCTGCGTCAGCTCTGTGTGTTTTGAGGTAAGGGGGTTTGGAGGAACGTGAGACTCATTGCTTAATTCTTTACTTTTGGTTGATAGTCAAGCAATTTGTAATAAAAGAAATGTGATGTAACAGGGAAGAAAAAGAGAGATGTAGAGAAACAAAGAACTCTGACTGCCTGCTCACAAGATGTTTGCAGATTTTAGTTTGAAGGCTGATGAAGGTGTAGTTTGAGTAAATAAAAATATCTGTTAATTAAATTTAAGATAATTTCCTTTTCTTTCTGACACTCACAACCAAAGTTGGGTGCTTCAATTAGTAGTTGTTCCTCGACAGCACTATGGTAACTTCACAGCTTGCTTACCAGTTGATTGCTTTAGCTCTCCTGAGAGCTGTTTTGCTCTCATCATGGTTTTGTTTTTTGTTTTTTTAAACATTGCTGGCTTAGCAGCATTTTATGGTGTGTCCCTCACCTCGCCGAGGCTTCTCTTTACCTGCCTTTTACTAACAAAAGAAGCAAAAACCCCTTGTGACTGCACAGAGTAAAGTTGGTCCAGTGATGACTCATATTGTGTGGTTACAGATTTGCTCTGCAGCCTCGCCCATTTGTTTCCTATAACAAACCACACTCTTCTTTTCCGCTGTTATTTCAGTTATGGCTGGACCCAGGCCCGTGGTGTGTAGTGGCCCATCAGGGGTGGGAAAGAGCACTCTGCTGAAGAAGCTCATGAAGGAATATGAAGGTGTCTTTGGCTTCAGCATCTCACGTAAGTGTGTCTATGTCCCTGTAAAGAATTTCACATTACTTTTAATATTTATTATTTTGCTGTTGAGGTTTGTTAGTCATGAGTAAAGCTTTTATTTTCTCCCTAAGCGAGTAACAAATTGTTGCAGCGCCAGATTTTTAAACTCTAGTGTGACAGAAGTGTCTTTTCCGTTCTCAGATACGACAAGAAAACCCCGACCTGGAGAGCAGAACGGCATAGGTACGGCATGTCACCGCTCTTTCACAACCAATGAACCTGAAAGCAGGCTGATTAAACAGTTGGATTTTTTTCTCAATTGTCCTTTTTTTGTGTACTTTCTTTCTTTCTTTCTTCTTCTTTTTTCTTCCCGGGTTTCAGATTACCATTATGTTACGCGGGATGTGATGCAGGCAGGCATCGGCAATGGCGATTTTATTGAGAGTGCAGAGTTTTCCGGGAACCTGTATGGGACGAGTAAAGCAGCTGTCCAAGAGGTCCAATCCAAGAACCTCATCTGTTTATTAGACATTGATATGCAGGGTGTGAAGAACATCAAAAAGACAGACCTCAATCCAATGTTCATTTCCATCCAGCCACCATCCATGGAAATCCTGGTAAGCACATAAGATTTGAAGTGTGCACAGCACGTGTCTGTAGTTTCCCATTTTTGCCACCAAACAAGTGGGTGTTGTCACCAGTTAAATTTTGCATCACAGGGATCAGGTAAAACGGGTTTTGGCTTCTGAATTGCTTCTGTAGGTTGAACCTGTTCTCTTGTTTCAGGAAAAGCGTCTAAGAGGCAGAAAAACAGAGTCGGAGGAGAGCCTCCAAAAGCGTTTACAGACAGCCAAAATCGAGATGGAGTTTAGTAAGTAGCTGTGATTTGCTCTCAACAGATCAAAGTTACAAACTATAAATCTGCACGTCATAACCGACCATGAATGGATCTCTTTCTAGGCAAAGAACCTGGTGCGTTTGATGTTATAATCATCAATGATAATTTGGACGATGCTTATGCGAAGTTGAAAGACGCTCTTAAGGAGGTGAGTTACGATTTCACAACACACACTTTCTATTTATTTTTTTGTTTTTTGCAATCTGTCAGTTTAAAGTTTGGCAATTAAAGTTTTAACATTAACTTTAAATGTTATGCCAGGAACACTTTTAATTATTCAATGTATTTTATTCTAAACTAAACATCCGAATAGGGATATTTACTCTGTCTTCAAAATGACAAAACTGTGATTTATAAACAGCAATAAGACGGAGATGGTCTGCAGTTGAATAGGAGCATGTCAGCAAGTGCATGCAATTTTTGTAACAAACAGGTGGAAAGTGCAAATCTGTTGCCATCTGCATACAAAGAAATTCACATTAAACAGAAATTTGATGTTAACTGTTCACATTCAGTCCACCAGGACCTCATGGAACCTCTGAAACAAAAAATCTATCTAAACTTTATGAATCTGATGGCAATCTAATCAAACTGTCACCAAATTGAGAATGACTGCAGTCATTACAGGTTTCAATCATTTCAGAGAGGTTTTAAATTTATAGTAAGCCCTCTGTACTAGTTGGACTTGTGTAAAATGCATTTAACCTTAGATGTTTGTCAGAAAGATGTTACTAAAAGTTGATGAAGAATAAACCTTTATTGAATCCTGTTAGCTCAAAAGGTTTTCGTCCGGTATGACTGGTAGGTTATGGATAAGAAAAATATTGGAACCACATCCTGTAAAAAACTACTTGCAGCCAGAGTGATTACTGTTCAGCAAACGTTGCATAGGCTTGCTTTCATGTTCTTAGTCTGTTCTTAGTTTCTTGCCACAGATCGATGTGTTCCCTGACTAATTATAAAACCTTTTTTTTTCTGCAGGAAATTGATAAGGTCAAGAAAGTGTCCTCATAGGAGAAAGCAGCATCATGGTCGTCGCTCAGCCACTCCACGACACACAATTCCACTCTTGTACATTCCCTCAGATGGTGGTCTTTGAAACTAGGACAATTTCCTTCAGCAGATATACAAAAAGTTTTTTTTTTTTTTAGAAGTAGTTACTAATAAATAACTTAGTGTAAAGTGGGACATTTTTATTTAATTTTTTTTTACAAACAAAGTGCTTTTCACATTTTATTTTTACACTGAAGAGGAGACACCCTGAGAACTCTTACTTGAAGTACAACTGGCATGATAAGCGGGAACAATTTGATGCAGACAGAAAATACTGTGTGCAACCGTATTCTTTTGCAGAAGTACAATTCATTGCATCATCTGGACAGACTGGTTTTTCAAGGATTAGGGTTTTTTGTTTTTTTTAAGGGGGGTGGGGTTTCTTTCAGTCTTTTGCAACCAGCTACACTGTGTTGATGTTTAATGTCTTAGATGCAGTGAAATACACAAGTGATGGTCAGAGTTAGAGATTAAAACCAGCACTCGGGCCCCCTTTAAAATTTGGTAAGTAGGTTTGGGCAGTATCTTAGTATCGTGTGGTACCAGGCTTCTTTTTTTTTTTTAGACAGAGTATTTTCTGTACTGTTAAAAATACACACTCCTTTGTGTTATGCTTATGTGATGTATTTAGGTCATATTGTAGTGCACAGCACTCGTCAGAGGGCAATTACTTCTGATTAACAGCTGAGCTGAGTGAGCTGTGAAACATGGCAGTTGCAAATGTTGGGGTGGATTTCGAGTTTAGTCTCATCTCCCTAAAGATAAACAGTTTGTCATAGTTCAAAGTGAGCACCACCTACCTGTACTGAGTAGTGTTGCTACGCTCTGGCTGTGTAGTTAAGCCATTTATTCTGACACAACTGTTCATTGTCAAGATCAAAATAATCAGGAAAGCTGATTTTATTTTATTTTTAATTTGGCAGATAGCCGCTTAACCTAATCGTGAATCAGTGTTGTGTTCTGATAATGTTCATGAGTTTCATAAACTAATATTTTTGGTGCCAGCTAGCGAGGGTGAGAGAGATTAAGCATTCAGCCAGCTAATCTCTCACCCTCCTACCTGAAGTGTCATCTGTCATCATCAGCTTTTAGTTTATTTACACAAATGTAATCGTAGACTTGGTGAAATGTGAGGAAGGTAAGAAAGACTCTATTTTGGCCAAGCCTATCAGGAACATGTGGTGACTCTTTACTTTTAGGGGATATACCTTTGAAACAGTAACATTATTCCAGAGTTAGTAAACGCTTTATTTTTTTATTATGTTATATAACTTGCCAGGTAATGTCCTGGTTCCTTACACTTTGTTTGCTGGAAAACTAAATACTGCTGTGCTCATGTAGAATTGAATCCCATCACAGAGTTAGAAACAGTACAACTACATTGTATTCTTTTATAACACATGTTTATTTAATGTTGTACATTTGTGAAAACTTTATATTGTGTAAGTTTCAGCTTTAGCTGTACAGTAAAATGACAGCAAATTTGTTGCTTTTTTTATTGCTTAGAATTGAGAAAACAGTAAATATTTTAAAAATGTCCATTTTAGATTGGATAGCCAATTATGCCTAAATCGTTATATTCCTGTATCTTGTAACATTCATTCCTTTGCTCAGAGTACTTTATGTTCCTGATGCTACTATTTAAATTCAAGTCTCACAAATGTTACATCATGCTGAACAAATACACGAAGGCCTCTTTAAAAGCAAACTAGCTGTTATAGGAATGTGCTTGTTGTAAACATGTACTCAGCACTATGACTTTTATGTTGAAACATCAGTAAATGTTACCATATGCAGAGTTTGTGCTATATAAAGAAATTACTACAGAAGCTAATTATGTGGCATATTTGCAGTACTTTTATTCAATTGAACACGTTGTACTCAACCATGTTTTGTCCAAAACTACACATGTACAGTACAAGCAAGTACAATCAGTTTGTGATTTAAAATTATTACATAAAATCATCCTTTTAACAGACACCTTTTGATCAACACAAACACCACACATGTTTAATTAGGAAGTTACTCTAGTTACTTTTAAATTGCACTAAAAAGTTAGTAAATTTTGTCAGCTGAAGTACTTTGCATAAACATCTGCGCTCAATCAAATATAGGATGACAACTGGTTATTCTAGAGAAACACATCTGTCTTGGAGAAGCAAATGCATGCAGTCACTCATCTACGAATTTGTCACTTGCATAGGAATATCCCTGTAACTGCCTGGGTTTACAGGCTGTTTCACCGCACTAGCAGACACAAATGCCAAAAAAGTTGAGTAAAAAATTCAGTTGATGGTAGGAACTTGGAAACGGGCATCTGTTCACCTACCAAATGATTTGCTCGCGCAAATGTCGTGTTTATAAACTGCTCACTAAGGAATCATTCACAACACCACAAAATAATGTAGTAGAGTCTTGTGATTCTCCAATTTGATTAACTAACAGCTCCTGAAACACAACAGTCCCCAAGTTTACACTACTTTTATATTCAGTGTTGCTTACTTGAAACATGCATCTCATTACCTCCCAATATTTCCAGCTCCAGGAATCCAAAGTGCCATAGCATGACCTGAATGGTACCAAAGTAAAACCTGAAAAAATATAAATCCTATTCATGTATGTTGCAATGGACTAAGGATTACATTTGGATCAGTTAATACTGGGGAGTAAAGCTGATCATTCAGTGTAGGTACACTGTGAAACATCATTGTAATTTGTTATCTCTCAAAAATGCATTTTATACCCAATAAAGACCAATAAAAAATAGACACTAGATTTCTCTGCAGTCACAAATTAATTATAACAATCATGCAAGTAAATAACTGTAATATGGTATACCAGTGGATTAACCATCACAGAAACATAAAACTGATGTTGGTAATCACCAGTACTGTTAATTTAGGGAGCTGTGACATAAACCTTACACTGGGGGTGGCAGTCTCATAAATTTGTCAATCACTGTATGTATAACCAAAAAACATTTATTTTATTTAAAGACTTCAACTCACCATTAGATATGAAGGTTTTAATCAGTAAATGTCAGACCTTTCTTAGCTTCCGCCCATCATGCATATTGTACATCACACAACATGTATATCCCTATAGTTTCCATCTCATCTGTAAGAGACAGTAGAGTCTAACAGTCTGTCAAGAAAATATCTAAGGATGACACTATTATCTGATTGGCAGGCTAAAAATGGAATGGTTTGTCAAATGCAGTAAATGTTGCTCAGGTTACGATCTGTATTTTCATGTTTAGTGAATGTTCCTATTTAAGACTAAGAGGGTTTGTGATGCCAAATTAAATGTTTGCTTTTCACTGGTTCTGATAAAGGTCATCTCTAATTTGAAGAGTGACAGGATTGCCAACTGATGTGTAACCATAGGTCTGAGTTGACACTTTGGTTTTAAAACTCTGCTGCCTGCCCTCAACTCTCTGCACCTCTGAGCAGTACGAAGGCTTCACTTCCAGCTTTGCATGGCTCACTTGAATAGGCACGTTCCTCTCCGCCCTGGACCGAGTCTCCCTGGCCTGCGGTGGGACAGCAGATGAGAAAAGGCTGCTGGAGAGATTCTCCCTGAACCGACTAAAGAAGCCAGTCCTTTGCCGGGGCACCACATCAGGCCGGCCCACGTTGAGAAGCACCGGCTGTCCCACTGTAGAACCGCCAATCTCTCTCTGAAGCACAGAGATCTCACAAGGCTTTTCGTTAACGTGTTGCGTGTGGGAGGAGCCATAAGTCTCTCCTTCCTCTGGGACGTAATCCTCCAAGTCCTCAAGGGTTAAAACACGATCTCCTTGTTTTAGGAACACAGGCTCTTGCTTTCTTGCAGATGTATCCTCCTCGTCATCGGGTTCAAAAATTACAGTTTGTTCATCATCCAGGTCGTCGTGATCTTCTCCAGCTGTAGCGAGAACAGAAGAGAGCTCGTGCGGCTCCCCAGAAGCAGACCCAGATGCAGCATCAGTCACCTCTTCCTCCCAGGAGAGCGGCTGGCTGCTGATGTCTCCCTGCAGGTGGGCCTGTGCTTGCTCCACAAGCTTGTTGTTGGAATTGTTAGCATTTGGGTTTTCCACTGGAGACCTTTTGGGTCTCAAGGGTGTACCTGCACGATCAGACCCTGCTGGCGAAATACCTCTCCTCCTGGACAACCTGGGAGACTTATTGACCTTATACTCGATGACCTCTTCTACTTCAACCCACCTGGGCTTGCTCTCTGTTCCCCTGGCTTCCGCCCCCTGGGGATCAGTAACATAGAGAGTTGGGATAGTGGTCTTTCTTGGAGTGGGCATCCTCCTTGTCCTGGCTGTAGGAAGCTCGGGGGTGGACGTCTCAGAGCGGTGGACACCAGCAAGAGTCAAGCCAGGTGATCTGTGTCTTCTCATTCGAGGATTCTTCACCACGGTGGTTATAGTCTCCTCACTGGAATAAGAAGTGCAATAGGCCTATGTAAATAAAACCCACCTTGCTTGGAGTCTTGGATTTAAAAATAATATGATAGTAATAAGCTGCAGTAATTAGGCTGACAGTTGAAGTAGACAACACCCTGATGAGAACAGCCCACCCTTTCATTATCCTTGTGATAGATTCCTTTTGCATCGAGGCTATAAATACTACACAATGCATACATGGAGCCAGAGGGGAAAAACACACACACACATACAGAAAAATGCCCCAAAATGCCCTATGATGGGCAATGTTATCTAATGATAAAAGCAATACCTACACAGATACATGAACCCCAAAAACTGCAGTGGAACTTTATCTTAAAAGAACCCCCTTAAAGATTCCTAAAATATATATTATATAGAAATTATTTTATTAAAGTATACTGTAGTGTTAAGTTAAGAAAATCCAAGATTATTCAACATCCAACTATTCGATCTTACTTTGATCATACTTACATGATGATGGTTTTCTTTGGTATTTTCGTCTCCTGCTCGGTAACTGTGGGAGGAACATGGACAAAGCATGATGGTTATTTTGCATTGCTAAAGCTGCACTCAAAGCATTTTCTGCTCAACAAAAACCACAAAACGTCCAAAAAAAGAGTAAGACTGTATGGATAAAGCCAGACTTGCTACCTTCAATGGTGATGGCCTGCTCACCAGAGCGAGCCACAGCGGAGGGGAGGACCAAGTCAGCAGCACACTTTGCACTGCCCAGACGGTTCGACAACTGAAATCCAACAGATATATTTTTAGAGTCATAAATGTAACTCACTGCTGCTAATTAATATCAACTATCTTGAAACTAATTTATAGGCACAAAGGCAAATGCATGACCTGCATTAAAATCTCCCCTCATTGACCCTTAAAAATAAAGGAAATGTTATTTTTGTAATTATCTGAGATATTTTCTTGTATTGAGACCTCTTACTGTAGAGCTCCAAATTCTGAACAAATAGATCTTAATAGTTTTAATGATCCTAATATATTTGGAGTACTTATGTCAATCATTTAACATTAAGTGTACAAAACTTGAGGTTCACGAGTCTCCCTGTCTCACATATTATAACTGCCCTCCCAGAGCCTCTTCATGCCAGACATTTCTTCCTCTTAAATGTATTTATTTTACTGGTACTTGCAACAGGGCTTTCAAATTGTTATATCTCTCTATGTAATGCTGTATAGTCTTAACCTTACTAAGTGATTGCCCAGAGATTATGTACACTCTGAAATGTCACAAAACGAATACAGATAAATGGAAATGAATTAGTCTAGACCAACCTCGCACTCATAGTGTCCAAGGTCTCTCTCTGTCAGGTTTTTGATTACCAGAACCAGAACGCCACTCCGGAGCTCACTGTAGGTCTGATATTTCTGCTGGTCAGTCAGCAGCCTGCCATCCTTGAACCACCTTGAACAGGGACACATGCAGAGAGGAGACAAGATTAGAGGACGGGGTTGATATTCAAACAAAATTGCAAAACTGAATCAAAATGAAGGAAAGAAGACAACATAAGGAAGGTATCCATACCTCACTTTGGGCTTGGGGGCGCTTTGTATTACACAGGTGAACTGAGCGTCCTCACCGGCAACAAAGATGGCATTCCTTATTTTATTTACAAAACGAGGAGGTACTAAAAGAAACACATGACAGTGTTTTATGTTTTAGACTATTCATCATTTTTCACAAGAAAAGTGTAATGAAGCAGTAGAAAAGAATACTCTTAGGATCATCCTATATATAGGTATGATGTGCCACTTACCCTGAACTGTGATCTTTCCCAGAGTACTGGCATTGCCAGCTGGACTTGTGGCAAAGCACATGTACTGACCAGAATCATCTGCAGTCATATTGTCCAGGATTAGTGTGCAGGAACCATCAGGGTCCTCGATGATGATGTGATGAGGATCTGCCCCCACTGCGCGTCCATCTGCATCCAACAAGTAAACAAAACCACTCATGAAACAGTCTTTGAATGTCACTCCACATGGCTAATAACCATAGAGGAAATGCCTCACCCTTGTACCAGGTAACCGCAGGTTTGGGTACTCCAGTAACTTTGCAGGCCAGCTTAACAGTCTGGCCCAGCTCTGCTGTGCAGTTTGCCAGAATTTCATCAAAATCAGGGGAACCTAGAAAATAGTTTGGTATAAAAAGCTGTGCTAGAAATTCCAAGCAATAGAGAGGTAAAGAAAAAAGTAAAACTGCATGGAGTCCCACTCACTCCATGCAGGCATGCTGTATCGCTGCTGCAGTTCTCTGAGGTCTCTCAGCCACGAGTTCTTGATGGTAACAGTTCGGGCTTGTAAGGTGTACTTCCTCACAGAATCCTCGCGCTCATGCCAAATCTCAAAGGCACGGTCATCACCCTCCACTGTCTCATTCACATCAATGTTATTCAGCTGAAACAAGATAAAGAAACCAACAAACATCATTTAGGCCACTGACCATGAAAGAAAAGATGAAACTAGATTATGTTAAAAACACTTACCTTCATCATGTTCTTGAAAATATATGCTTGTGTATCAGTGTTGCTGTCTCTCTTGGGCTTGCAGATAATGCAGTAGTTCTTAAAGAGGAAGACGTGACGGTGGTGACCTCTAGAGGACGTTCTAATTCCAGGAGCACCCTCCCACACTTGGAAAGGCCCCTGGTGGGAGAGAGTAAGCATATGCAGACAGTCAAATGCTTATGTGTAATCAAGACCCTGCACAGTCGGCAGCTACGTGGTACCTGTCTAATTGGTTCTCCAAGAACTTCGAGGGTAGCAGGATAGTTCTCAATCATGGAGACATGGTGGGTATTCTCAGAACGCTGAGGGAGTGCAGACACCATTGCAAAAGCTTCTTCCAGCAGGCAGCAGTTCTGACCATTTCTTGCTTTGTTTCGAATGAGCTCCTGAAGATGTTGCAGCAGAAATTTCAACAAAACTGAAGTTACACTGATCGTGTACATAATTTAAAGGCTCTAAAAGCAAATGACTGAAAAGTAAATAACTGACTCTAAGATGATTGTATGCATGCACTCTATTACCTTCAGGAAGGCCTTGTACTTCTGAATCCTCTCCAGTGGCTGTTGGAGATAGGCATTTATGCTTCTTACTGGTGGATCTGCAGGGTCTGAATTAGCCTGTGCTGTGTCAGTATATTCCTGTTTTTTGGAGTTTAAAAAAAAAAGATTTTAACAGTTGGCACATTTGTAATTCATAGTATAGCAATAACAATTCTGCTGTTACCTTAAAGAAGCTGTGCACAGTCTTGTCACTGATGGCAGATTCAGCCTGACTCTGACCTACAAGATACTGAAGGTACTTCTCAAAGCCCTCCTTGTTCTTCAGGAAACACATGGCTATGTCATCATCAGTGTCGCAGTCATTCAACTTCGGAAGGAATGCCCTAAAAAGAAAATCATAAGAATGATGCATACTGATTATACTAAAAAATGGCTGAAAATAACATTTAAGAGGTGAGCTCACTTGTTATGGAAGGATTTGATATCATCAATGTTTCTGAAAATAGCCTCTTTCTGGCTGGTGACGTCAGGCGGTGCATCAGAACTGTCTGCATGCTTCAGGTGATGGGAGGTGAAGAATTCCACCTCCTTGACAAACTCTGATTCTCCGTTTATCAGTTCCTGGATCAGTTGGCTAGAAGCACGAATTAATAATTTTTTATGGTTCTTTGGTTGGTTTGCTTTGTCACGACAAATATGCTTCACTTACAATAATTTTCTCTTGTATTCTCCTTCAGACACCTCTTCCACACTTGTTTCTGGAAGATCGCCAGCATCAGCAGACAGCTGTAATAGAAATTTTAATTTTTTAAAAAAAAATATTACCCAATGCGTGCAACATGCAGTGGCGAGCTGGAAGCAATTGTCTTGAGACATACTTTGAGTTTTTTGTCCAGGTAGGCCGGTGAGACCCAGCCTTGGCGGGATGGTGTCGTTTTGGTGGGTTTGGTCCGAACTAACCACTTGAGCGGGTGAGCCGAGTCCAAAACCTCAACATACTGTCCCTCTTTTAGAGAGATGGAATCTTTGCTCGCCACGATGGGGTTGTAATCAGCTGTTGCTACATAGATATCAAACATCTATAAAAAATATATATATATGTGTGTGTATTAATAACAGGATTGCAGGGGGACTGGAAGCTATCCCAGCTGTCAGAGGGTGAGAGACAGAATACCAATCTGCCCCAAGGCTAACACACAGAGACAGATAACCATTCACACCTGTCTATGTATAAAAAAAAAAAACTTAATTGAATTTCCCTTTATTTCTTCAAATAAACTGCACCATTAAAACTTTCATTCCCTTGTTTTATATAGTATCCTGCCATGGTGTGTCAGAATTTAATCGATGAAATTCTGATATAAAGGCCAAAAATTTATGAACATTATGAACTTAATGGAAATTTTTTTGTATCTCACCTCTCCCCTGGCGTCTCCTTCATCAGACTCAGAGGAGGAGTCAGCAATGAGGGAGGGAGGACGGGAGCGACCGTGATGAGGTGATGGAGAAGGTGTCTTGGTCTCATCATCACTGTCACCACCTGGTACGCGTAATGAAGCTGGAGCAGTAAGGAGGAAGTCAAAGGAAGACAGGTCAGTCGTACAGAAATGTCCAATTAGTATAATCTGTCCTTTAAACCTATGCAGTAGATATTAGTACCCACACTCACTCAGGTCCATCAGCTTAAATATATATTTAAAACCATAACTGTGTGCTAGCGTGTACCAGTGTTGTATTTACCTGGTCAATTTGAATTTTTCTGTATACTGAAGTAACGACATAGTTTTTACGACGCAAAAACAGAGGGGAGAAATCCACAGTGGTTAATCATTCTAATGCTCTAACATGTATTACTGTATTAGTATCATGACAACAGGCAGCTTCACTTTTATCTCAGCTCTCCACATACATGTCTGCTTGGTGAGCATGTATTCCACTTATACAGAAGCTTCATAGGTTATTGCAAAAACTATTTTAGTAACAAGACAAAGGATGAGGAAACTCATTGAGGATGAGTAAGGAGATATAGAGGGCACTAATAGAAATAAAAGGGGATGGCTTAGCTGTTATTAAGCTGACACTGAAATAGAGTTGTTGTATGTATAACTAAATATTTCTTGTATGTAAAAGGAAATGTAAGGAAAACTGTTTTATAAAGTCATTATTAATAGATAGAAAATATTTCAGTGGAAAACTGCAGAGTATCTGTGATGCTGATGCACTTGGGATACATACTGGCAGATTTGGGCCAAGATTTCATCCACTGGAGCACTTCATGATTCTGTAAACTGTCTGAATAACAAATTAATCATTTAATGAGTATTTATTTAGTGGGAGTGATAAACTAATGGGTGTAAAGGTGGTTAGGAAATGATGTCTGTATGAAGGAATGGGAGATTTTATGTCATAAATGCATAAATAAACTAAAGCGTGCACTAGATAAGCACTAACATGGCACTAAGAAACATTCCTCGGTCAGGTTTGGTGTTCAGAAACAAAGGAAAGTGATAGCCAGTTCAGTATTTAAGCATTAAAGCAATCGGATTAAACATTTCTTAAACAGCCAGAATGAATTCAAAGAATTCAACCAAACCTGACAAGAAAATAACAGAGCAATGCAACAGAAGCACTGTATGCAACATAATCTATGATCCATACTTCAGTCTTCAGCATTAGTAACTACCAAATGCAGTCACTGCAGAGGGAATATGGATAGTTAGCCTGCACATTTTTAGTACAACTACAGACACAAGGTAATTTAAGAGATTGAAGGTGTTGTGATCGTTCAAGTCATATAATTTAATGTTTGTTCTCCTGAGAATGTATGTTCTCTTGAGGTGAAACCTTTTGTTTGTTTTTTTAACTATATCCTAATCTAAACTGTTTATGAGACTTGTTGAGAAGGAGCTACAGTCCAATGCTAGCATAATCATTCATTTATCTTGGTTTAAACCAGACTTGAAGCCGGAATAGACCAGTTCTGAAATGCCTTATGGACATAAAGGTTTGTATTTTATAAAGTACCATGAACTCATTAGTCTCTGAATATTTAATGCAGAGCTATAATGCTCCACTTACCTTGGGTGATCTTGGCTGATACCATTTCAGTGATCTGAGAGGTGAGTTTCATGAGGAATTCCTCTGAACCTACTTCACCTAGGAAAGGCATTTTGCCCTCTTAAGGGTTGGCAAAAAGTAAAGAACACCATAAATATCTTAACATTTATTTTTATTCATTTATATATCTTATCAAAAATAAACATTACTGGGCCTGATGATTAGCTAGTACGTCTTACCTTTTCCTTTGCTAGTATCTTCCTGTGGAGGACTAACTGTAATCCCAAGAACCCTGAGTGGATTTCAGTATTAAAATTTGTCATGTATTTACATTTATATTAAATGTACTTACTACAGACATCTTTTTTTGTGCAAGGCAATCAAAAGGTTTCAAAAATAACTTACTCTGAAGCCGCTGTCTCTTTCTTGGGCTGAGGAGCTAGAGAGGAGGGAGAAAAAAAGCGGAAGGGTGGTTTGAAAAGTGCTCTGCTAAGTGTTTCTGATATAAGAAGACACTCATTTAACCTGTCATTTCAAAATAAAGTGTCTTGATGACGTTATTCTCCTTACTCTCATCCACCTCCAAGTGAGCAGTGCAGATGGACTGTCCAGCTTTATTTGTTGCAATGCAGGTGTAGGCACCAGTGTACTCTGTGCCCACGTCCATCAAGATGAGACTGTGGTGGCGCCCAGAGCTTGCTATTTTGTATCCTTTAGTGTCAGGCTTGATCCACAGGACATCCTCCAAAGATTCCTCCTTTAGCCAGTTGACCATGGGAGTAGGAGATCCTAAGAGAGAAGAAGGGTGATTATGGAGACTTTGTAATAATGATGCGTGGCAGATAGAGCCCAAAATCTAGACTTTCTTCTTATCTAGAAAAGTGTAGTAACGCACCTTCTACTTTCACAGACAGAGTGATGCTTGTTCCTTGTTTCACCTTCCTATTGCTGAACCTTTCAATAAAGCGGGGTGGCACCAGGGGCTCTTTAGGGTCTGTGAGAATGAAGTGTATAATGTGACATTTTGAATATATGGACATGTCTACTGAAAGTACATATACTTGTGCTGTGGTTTGTAGGATAAATGTTAAATTACCCTTTTTCTCTTGTGGTAAAATCTCCCCAGGACCTGTTGCAAAAAGTGTTGCAAATGTATAAAATGTATCTCATCGTTTCATTTGAGATTTGTATTTTGTATTCAGGCACGTGTATACATACTCAATACTATCATCCGGGCAGAGGAGTAAGCAGAACCAGCTGCATTGCTGATGTAGACGGAGTACTCCCCCATATCCTCTTTTTTCACCTCCGTGATCTCCACGCCATGAACGTCTCTCTCTGCTAACAAATGAATTCTTTCTGAAGGTCGTAGAGGGTGGCCATCTTTGAACCAGTATATTCTGGGTTTCGGGAAACCTGGAAAACAACAAAAATTTGACAAACATTATTCTTAAATCATATGCAATGTTTTTAGAACACTGGGATGGATTAACAAATCTTTACTTTACCCTTTACTTTAAGCTGCATCTTTGCAATAGGTGAACCTGGACAGACGTGAACATCATGAAGCTCCTCCACAACCTGCGGTAGCTGATCATCTTCAGCTACAGACTCAAAGGTCTCAGTTTCCCTGTTGGAGGAGAGTAAAGCACAGCAGCTCCAGTATATTTATAACTGTATGTGAAGGCCTCAATATAAAGGTTTAGTTCATATAAATAAATAAATAAACATAAATAAACTTACCTGGACATGTATCCTTTGGCACTGACGTAAGAAGACGTCTCAGTGGCATCAGCAGCAGTGTCATAATCTGAGCTGCAAGACACTGATGGAGAAATTTTATTATAGTTTTATACAATGCTTAAGGTGTAAAGGGACTCTGCTTTTCTAAGATGTTGATTTATGGTTTGGAAATTAGCTTCATGCTTCAGTTAAATGCTACATCTGTATAGCTGTAGGTTTTGTGGGTTTGTTTTTGTTGTTTTTTTTACCCCTGCCTAATATAAAGGCAGGGTGAGAAACCTGCCTTTATATTAGGGGAGGCTCAAGGTCCATCTCACATATTCTGCATGCTAGTTTTGCTCTGACTTTGTCTGAAGTTCTCTTCTGTTTTAAAAAAACAAGCTATACAGAAGTTTGCATACATTTACGGGCATGAATATTGTAGTAATTTTGCCCTTTTAATAATAACAATAATAATGGATTGCATTTATATAGCCTTTTCGATACCCTCAAAGCGCTTTACAATTCCACTCTCACATTCACACACTGGTGGAGGCAAGCTACAGCTGTAGCAGACTGACAGAAGCAAGGCTGCCATATCGCGCCATCGGCCCCTCTGGCCATCATAGGCAGTAGGTCTGTGTCTTGTCCAAAACAGATAGAGCTGGAGATAGAGCTGGGGATCAAACCGGCAACCTTACGGTTACAAGATAAGCTTCCCAACCCCCTGAACCACAGTCGCCACATTTAACGCTTTCTTTGAACTGTTCTTTTTCCAGGGTGGAATGATGTACAGCATACATCTCAATGACTTCAAAAAACAAGAATTTGGTGTCCAAAATAAATTCAAATTTGTGCACCAAATTCTCATTTTTTAAGTCATTAAAGATGTACAGATGCTGTACAGTTTGCCTAGTCAATTATCCCAGGACAGGTATTTAAAAAGCAAACGTGTGTTTCTTGTATCATCTGTTCACTTACTGTCAACCCTGAGTTCAGCTTTAGTAGATGCAATGCCACTGCTGTTTTCAGCTGTGCAGCGATAGACCCCCATATCAGTAGGCAACACAGTGGTGATGATAAGTTGGTGACAGCCCTCCTGGTCTTCATTGATCATGTAATGGTCGTTCTCCTCCAGCAGCTTGCCATCCTTATACCAGCGAACAGTGGGAGGTGGCTTGCCAATCACAACACAGTCAAAGCTGACTGGATAACCGTCTGGAACATCCTGACTTTGTAGCTCGGTTAAGAAGACAGGTGCAGCTGGCAACAAGAGCAAATGGAAAGCAAATATAAAAATCCCACCCCTAACAGAGAAACTATTCTTGGTGTATTGAACTTGGTGCATTACTAACCAGACAAAGTTATAATTAACAGAGAGCAAGCTGCTTCTTACCTGGAGCTCCAGTCATGAAAGCAGGAGGCTGTCTATCTTGTGTGGGCGTCTGTGTACCATCTTGTATGTAGCTCATCTTTTTAATTCGCAGCTCCACTTTGTGAGGCCCTGCAGGTAAGATTGTGGTCTCCACAGGAACCCCATGGACTGTAAACATCTCCTGAAATCTCGTAGAGGCAACTTCAGCTTCTGTCCGTGAATCAAAACGAATGTAGATATAATTGTCATCTTCACGGTAAGATTGTGGGTCTGGGGCTCGCAAGTCTCCTTCATCTGCACTGACAAATGGTTCTTCCTCAACATCTGGTGGGAGACGCGTGCGCAACAGGCGCCGGAGGCGTCTGCTTGCCTGTCTCAGCGACTCATCCATCTCACTTCCGGAGGAGCTCTCAGGCTCACTGTCAGCACTGTAACCTACAGTAAGCGGCCGTCGGCCTGATGATTCTCTTACCGTTCCCACAGTCACCTTACCACTGTGAGAAGCTACCCCAAACTTGTTAGTGGCTTCACATGTGTAAACTCCAGTGTCCTTGGTGGTGATTGCAGTAATGACCAGTGAGCAGGTGCCATCATTATAGATATCAATATGATGATGCTTGCCATCCGTCAGTGGTTCTCCATCTTTCAGCCAGCGGACTTTATCAGGTTTACCTTCTGTCACACATTCCAGATGTATGGTGCCATTAGGTTCTTTAGTCTGGTCTTTGAAGACATCTTTAAAAACAGGACGCATGTCCTTGCGGGCCTTGTAACCCTTGAAGGCAGCTTGAATCTTAACAGCAGCTTCTCTGAGCTCAGGGTCATCCTCTTTACCGATCTCCATGATGCTAGTTTCCTCTGTAGACACGTGTTTTTCTTGGGTTTGCTGAACTACAGTTGTTTTCACTTCTGTCTGCTGCACAGTTTTCTGCTCTGACATTTGGAAATGTGCGAAGAACCTCTCAGTGGCTAGAGTATCTGCTTCCTTTGTCACTGTCTCAGTAGTCTTGCTGCTCTTTTTGAGGTAGGAAACAAGCGTCGAACGCCCAGAAACAGACTCATCCTCAGAGCTGGTGCACAGGCTGGCTTCTGTCTGCTTCTTTGACACAATGGCCTGCTCCTTCTCTGTTGATTTGACTTCCACTTTCTCAGATTGTGGAAGCTGATTCTGGTCTAATTTGCTCTGACCCCTTTTGCCATCCTCCTCTGGTTGCTCAGAGATGGAGTCCAGAGTTGGCTCCCGACTCATGCGTCGTTTCTTGGCTGATGCTTCCCAAAGTTCATGGAGATCACCTTCTTCAGCAGCCTCAGGAGGAAGACTGGGTTGTCCCAGTGCCTCAGTTACTTCCTGTTTTGCATCTACACATATGACCACAATGGAGTTACAGTTATGGTCCATACAGCACCACGCCCTCTTTAATTGGTGCTTAATCCTAACGTTTAACATTTATGTGCAGGGCTACATTAGGGCTACAGCAGAGCTTGTGGAGAAATACAAAAAGTACCACATATACAGCGTACAGTGACCTACCTGGAGTAATCGGTGGCAGAGGAGGTGCTTCTGTGTTTCAAGAAGAGAAGAAAAACAAATGATATTAAAGTTTATAAAATATCAAAATTCCTTGGTTTCTAGCATTACATCTTTGGCTAGAATGTTGCAGTTGCATAAAGCTCGATCTCATATCACCATGTGACATAAAACATGAACTGCAATTACAATTATAAACACAACATCACAGAAAAAAAGCAGCTACACTGTTGTGTTAAGTGAAGCGTACATTCACTCACCAAGCTGAACAGTCTGAGGCAGCTCAACAGGCTCCCCTATCCCTGCTCTGTTGATGGCTGCCACTCTAAACCTGTAGGCACTGCCTGGACTGAGATTTTCAACCACAAATTCGGTGTTACGCACAGGCTCAGAATGACATGGAAGCCAGAGGGCACTGTCTACCATTCGGATCTCCACTCTGTAGCCCAGAATGGGACTTCCTCCATCATGCAAAGGTGTGAACCAAGAGAGGGTAACAGACTTTTTTGTCTTACTGAGGACCTCCGGATCCTCTGGAGGATCAGGCACAGCTATGGGGAAGGGAAAAAGAAAAACCGCCATTGGATGTATTTATGAACACTAATTAAAAACCAAATACTCTACAGTGTTAATCTGTTATGAAAGTTATATGGAAGGTGTTCCAAATGCTCCAGAACTTTCCATGTTTTTGTTAGATAGCTTATCTTTTCTAAAGAATGTCTTAGGCCGCTGTAAATTTGCACAGGTTTGCTGCTTCTTCAAAGAGAAAGCTCTGTACTGTTTGGCTTTCAAAAAGCAGAAGTTAAGTAAAGACCTGATATTCTTAGAGATCACAGCACCATCTGGGATAAATATTTACTAAGCATAAATTACAATTAAGAGGAATCTATTACTCAGAAATTTGGTTACATATTTCCAGCAGCCTTTTTCAAAAAGATTGAATCAGAGGGCATTCCCACATAAAGTGGGAACAAAGATTCTTACATTTAATGCAAATGTTGAAAGTATTAGCGTTAACACAGCCTTGTTGGAGCAATGCATTGCCTATTTATCCATTTATATTGCTTTAGTTTGTATTGGAACTTAAGACCACACTTCTGACCATTGTTTCTTGTTTACATAATATTTGAAATCTGTTCTCCATACTAGTGGCATGTAGTATGTTATGAAATGACACGTTGTACCTACTAGCAAACATGTTGTTTAAGACAGACACCAGGCCACTAGACTTTACAAATTTCAAAGTGAAATCTTCAGTGGTGGATAAAGAAGAGAGCTTCAAACTACTACTGAACTGCCTAGCTAATATAAAACTTCACAGTTGGAGGTATTAAGAAGAAGCTTTGATGGTATGCCATACCTGCTCCATAGTTCTTCAAAAGATTTTTATTACCTTAGCTTCCTACTATACCCTGAATTGTCCAAAATTTTAATTCTGGTTCTGCGCTCCCTGGTCGAAACTCAGAATTACAAAAAATTGGAGTAAACTCTATATACAGGTTTAAAGGGATATTTGTTAATCTTTTCATAGACATAGACATTAGGGGTGCAAC